GTCCAGAATATCAAGGGAACTAATGCAGGGGAAGGTGGCCTAGCCGTACCAGATCTTAAATTGTATTATAAAGCAGCAATCATCAAAACTGCTTGGTACTGGCTAAGAAACAGAGTGGTAGATCAGTGGAATAGGTTAAGTATGCAAGACACAGTAGTCAATGACTATAGTAATCTATTATTTGATAAACTCAAAGACTCCAGCTTCTGGGATAAGAACCCACTCTTTGAAAAAAACTGCTGGGAAAACTAGAAAAGAGTATGGCAGAAACTAGGCATTGATCAAAATCTCACACTATATACCAAAATAAAGTCAAAACGGGTTCATGATTTAGATATAAAGGCTGATACTGTAAGCAAACTGGGAGAGCAAGAAATGGCTTACCGATCAGATTTATGGAGAACAGAAGAATTCATGACCAAACAGGAGATAGAGAACATCACAAAAAGCAAAATGGATAACTTTGATTACATTAAATTGAAAAGTTGTTGCACAAACAAAGCCAATGCAACTAAGATTAGAAGGAAGGTAGAAAACTGGGAAAGAATTTTTACAACCAGTCTCTCCGATAAGGGCCTCATTTCTAAAATACATAGAGAATTAAGTCAAATTTATAAGAATACAAGTCATTCCCCAATTTGATAAATGGTCAAAAGATATGAACAGGCAGTTCTCAGATGAAGAAATTAAAGCCATCTATAGTCATATGAAAAAATGCTCTAGGTCACTATTGATTAGAGAAATGCAAATCAAAACAACTCTGAGGTACCACATTACACCTATCAGATTGGCCAAGATGACAAAACAAGAAAATAATAAATGTTGGAGAAGATATGGGAAAATTGGAACACTAATACATTGTTGGTGGAGTTGTGAAATGATCCAACCATTTTGGAGAACAATTTGGAACTGTGCCCAAAGGGCTATAAAAATGTGCATACCCAGCAATAGCACTTCTAGGGTTATATCCCAAAGAGATCATACAAATGGGAAAAGGACCCATGTGTACAAAAAATATTTACAGCAGCTCTTTTTGTGGTGGCAAAGAATTGGAAATTGAGAGGATGCCCATGACTTGGGGAATGGCTGAACCAATTGTGGTCTACGAATGTAATGGAATACTATTGTGCTATAAGAAATGATGAACAGGCTGACTTCAGAAAAACCTGGAAAGGCTTGTATGGTCTGATGCTGAGTGAAGTGAGCAGAACCAAGAGAACGTTGTACACAATAACAGTCATATTGTGCAACGACTAATATTGATAAACTTAACCCTTCCCAGCAATATACAAGGATCTAAGACACCTCCAAAGGTCTCGTGATGGAAAATGCTATCCACACCCAAAGAAAGAACTATGGAGTTTGAATGCAGAATGAAGCATACTATTTGCTATTTTTTTTCTTCTGTTGAGTTTTGTTTCCTCTTTCTGATGGTTCCTCCTATTGGTTCTAATTTTTACTTACAACATCACTAATGTGAAAATATGTTTAATAGGAACATATATGTATAGTCTATATCAGATTGTATGCCGTCTTGGGGAGGAAGGGGGAGAAAAATTTTAAACTCAAAAGCATATGGAAGTGATTGCTGATAAATCAAAATAAATTAATAAAAAAAGTTTTCCCCAAGCTACTAGTTTGATAATGCTACTGAAAAAGAAAAATTAATTCTATTATTTTCTTCTATGGTAAAGTACTTTAATTTCTGATAGACCTAAGAGGAACCCAGACAGCACTTAAGATAACTTCTACTGCTGGACCTTAAACAAGATAAAAAGGGAAACACACTGGGCATTATTTGTTCTTATAAAAGAATATATCTGAATGTATACAGTTAAACTTTTCCTGGAACTAAACTTAAGTAGGAGTTTATCAGGTGGGTTCTGATATAGAGACATTAGATAACATAGCAGAAAAGGTCTTTGATAAGTTTTACAAAAGACAGTAACACTGTTTAAATGTTTGATTCTCATAGTAACTCAATGAAGTTGTTTGCGTGTATGTTTATGTAAGATGGTACCCCTCTACAACTTAGCACACAAGGCTTTGTTGGTTGCAGTGGCTGAAAAAATCTGATGGCAAAACCTCTGGTGTGTCCATTTTAAATGGGCTGGTCTTTGAGTAACAAAGCTCATCTCACGTAAACCTTCAAGAAAAGCTTTTAAATCTACTGAATTTGGACTGTGTTGCCATAGATGTTGAGAATCATAATATTCAACATTTGTATAGGCCTTTAGAGTTTTCAAAGTGCTTTATATAATCTCATTTGAGTACTTAGGGTCATCTACCCTATAATAGGCCAGCTAAGTAGGCCCTTTGTGGAGGCTGATTTCTAATCATTTAATTCAATACAGAAATCAATCTTGGAGGATTTAGAAAAATGAATAGCTACCACGTCCATTAGACTGACACTCTTAAATATCAACTGTCTTTAATGGGCCTTTGACAGCTGTTGGACATCCACTGATTCATAATTAAATTCTCTAACAAATCTGCAGATAGTCCGCTATTTCTCAAGGCAAGGACAATATGCTTTGGATACCAGACATGTAGTCACTCTTATCATGCTGCTATTTTAAGTCTAGCCAGAATCCTTACTCAAACAAAACACTAATCTATTTCAGCATGTGTAGGCAGAAGGGGTACTTGAAAGTAAACCTAAAACTTACCTAGAAAAAAGGCTCAAATCCTTAAGTACTTGTACAATTATGTGGTTAAGACCTGGGAGTTCTACAACTCTTCTACAGTAAAGATAACCTTAGTTTGAAGGATGTTTTAAAAAGCAAGTGTTACTGACTTGCTACTTGCCTTATCCATAACAGAACTTCAGTATGGCTATTATGGAATGTCTGATTTTAACTAAAATCACATCTCGTGGAGCCTGCCTAGCTTGTGTGTTAGTTTCATATGTAATTCAAAATAAGCAAATTAATGAAGCTGGTAAATCTTATTTAAGATAGTCTACTTAAATGTTGGAAGATCCCTACCAAATAGCAATTGCGGTTTTGATATAACTAAAGACAATTTTTCTTTTAAACAGTACAGAGAGCCAACTGCTTAAGCCTATTTTTAGTTGAAAGGATAAAACCAGGTCAATTAGCATAGAGGAGGATGCTTATCTTCCTGATTGCTATAGCAGGATGACATTCTTATATCTAATTAGTTTACTCAGTTGTTTGGATGTAAATGAGGAAGTAGGATTAGGACACAGCTAACCTAAAATTTTGAGAAATTAGTTTTCATCCTAACCAACATGGGGCAAATGCTGAGCAATGCTCAAATGTTGCTTTCATTTATAAATGAGTCACATGGATGTTGGTAACAGTTTATATAGCATACCACTCACTAATCACAATGAATAAAATAAAAATAACCTCTTGTTGCTGTGGAAGGCTGTTCTTGGAAAATCACAGTATCTCAGAACTGGAAAAAACTTAATGGAATTCTAGTTTGACTACACACACACACCCCCATTTACAATACCTCTGACAGTTTCTATTTAAGTCCAATGACCGGAAATTTGCTTATGACGACAACTACTTGAAACTTAGGTAGACCTTGAAAGTTTGTGCCAAGTTTTACAAACATGATTGCATTTGAGCCCCACAACCACCCTGTGAAGTAGGTTGTTCTATAGGTATTATTATTGCCATTTTAGAGACTCCAGCCCTGGGCCTCCCAGCTCTGAGAGGGGAACCTTTGCCTTACCTTGCTGGGGCCTTCCTCGATTCCACTAATCCCTGGGATCCCCAACTCTAACAGAAGTAAACCTTTGCCTTATTTTGCCAGGAAGAAGGCCTCCACTCCACTTCCAGTAGCCTGCTTGCCATGCCCTGTATGTTACTCCTCTGCCTTGTTCCCTGACTGCTGGCTACCTTCTAGCTCCTTTTTATGTGCTATCCTCCCCCATTAGAATGTAAGTTCCTTGAGGACAGAGACTGTGTTGCTTGCCTGCATCTATCCCCAGTGCTTAACATAGCGACAGGCACATAGTCAGGATTCACTATATGATCCAGGAGTGGAAGAGAATTTAATGATTATCTAGTCCAAAGCCCTCATTTCAAAGGTCAAGAAACTGAAGCCCAGAGAGATGAAGGAGTTGACCAAGGTTACAAGAGAGCGAGTGGTAGAGCTGCAATTCTAACTCAGATCTTCTAACTGCCATCCCAGAGCTCCTTCTACTACCTCACAAGATTGCTCCCAGTTCTGTATCTAGAGGTAAACAAAGTGTGCCTAACCCCTCCCTCATGCTGATGAGGGGGACTTTAAGTATTTTAAGATTATGCTGTGCTCTCTTAGTCATGTTCATCTCCTGGTTTCCCTGGCATCCTTCAAGTCTCAGCTAAAACCCCACCTTCTATAAGAAGTCTTTCCTGATCCCCTTAATGTTAGTGCCTTCCCGCTGCTGAAAATCTCCAATTTATCCTGTACACAGTCTGCTTGTATGTAGTTGTTTGCATGTTATTTCTACTATCAGACTGTGAGTTCCTTGACAGGAGGGACTGTTTTTGCCTTTCTTTGTATCCTTCGAACTTAGCACAGTGCTTGGCATGTAACAGGTTCTTAATAAATGCTTGCTGCCTCAACTTCTCTAGGCCACTCATCTCCACTTCCCTTGCCTATTCCTCAAATGACATTAATTGCAGACCCTCCTAACCATTTTAGAGGCACTATCATTTGTCTTCTAGTAATGCAACACAAAAAAGCACTAGTATTTTTTGGCTGCTGCATCACATTACTGGCTAACAATAAGCTTGTGGTCAACTAAAACCTTCAGGTCTTAACCACATTAATTGTCACACCAAGTCTCTTGAATTATTGATTTATGAACTATGCTCATCACAGTTTAATTAGCTATGGTGCCATTGGTATCAGTTTGAAAATGGTGCTTGTGTTATGGAATCATGTTTTCTCAATCTTAAAAAAAATAATCATTCACATTTTTCTCATTACCCAAAAATGTAAACCAGAAGAACACAAACTGAACAATCATTACTTACTCATTAGCTTTCAAGCTAGCTGTGGCTCTGATGATCATGTAGCAGAGAGTGAAGGCACTGAGGAGGCCAAAACTGGCAATAATAAACCATTCTTCTGTTGACAAAGGAAAGGGAGGCAATCACTCGTGGGAGAAGGCTTATGTCAAATCGATGTCAATATTTCTCTCAAATGCCACTGGTGGAGGCAACGCAGGTGTAAGCCATGACTGGCACAAAGAAGTGTAGCAGAAGAAAGTTTGCCAGAGAGTTACTAATTGGAAGAAGTTGTGGTGAGAAATACAAGGGGAAAAGGAAAGCAGGGCCCAGCCATTTCTGTCTGCCAACACCCCGAGGTTTGTGAGAAGGATGTAGTCACCAAACAGTGTGAAGTGAGAAATGTAAAATAAGGAAAAATATTCGTGGAAATAGATTTTTGTTAATTGCAACTAAGTCAAACTGTCCAGCCAAGTTTCCAATTTTTCCATTCTTCGGTGTGAAAACTCCATGCAGTCACCCCCACTTAGAGAAGACTTTAGCTGCAGAGAAGAACAATTCTCAAGAGCATGGTCCACGGAGACGCCGGGCAGCATGTGGCCTGAACTTTCCTTAGTTTTCATGATGACATTATGACAATCTCTATTATTTTCCCCTCCTCATGCACACATTCACACTATTGAACAAAACCAACACAACATCTTGATGTTTCATCAAAAGCAGTTGTCATTCATCCTGATTATTTTGGTGAGGTTTTGTTTTTGATTTTTTTTTGTTATGGGAAGCAGAAACTGATAAGGCAGATAGCCTAAAAGATAGCATGTAAATATTAAAAAAAAAATGAAAACCACCGGTACATGATTATAGAGTCATTCAGATAATCAATACATGAAAAGGATTTTCTTTAAGCCATTTAATAAATTTTCTTAATCTTGTAAGATTTTGCATTTTCTTGAAATGATATTCTAATACTCCTATAAAGCAGAGCCTCCCTATACATCTAGAGGCTATCAGAGGAGAGCCATCCAAATCAGTAAACCATTTCAAGCATGACATTCTCTTAAAGAAATTATGCTTTATTATTTTTAAGGACATACACTATCAGGTCTGTGTTAAAAAGATGTTGCTTAGTATAGGGCTCCTTGGAGACCTGCTCTAATGAATGAAAAATAAATATTTGGGATGAGAATATCAATTGTTCATATGTAAAAGTTGGTTCTATGGTACAGGATGACGTTCATAATATTTTTGGTTAAACATTTTTTCAAAATTTTTGTTTATATTATTAAATTGTTCAATAGACTCTACAGAAAGGAAAACTACAGCTTAGCTCTTGTTCTAATTCACTTGAAGCTAATAAATATTAAGTGCCTCCTGTGAGTATTCCAAATTAGTAAAGTGAATTAATGAAGTTTTAGTGAATTGCTAATTCCCATTTTCCCACTAGGTAATTTGTGAAATTAGGAAAAGCTAGTTTGATAATCTTAAAAATGAAACAATAATATTTAATACCAAGGAAATAAAGAACTTTTTTCTATGACTTTTGCGTATGTAAAATATATAGATTTTAAGAGTTTTGATTCTGTTCAAATTACTTGATTCTAAATGAATGATACTCATTTGTGTGGCACAAATATGCTAAAAAAAAAATCAGCCCAGATAAAGCAAATTTGTCTGCAGCTGTATCCTAATACAGTTGTATGATAGCAGCACCACAATGTACCATGAGCACACTTCATCTCTATCCTGCACAGAATGATTTCATGAAAAAGTACCACCTACAAAGCCAAGGACTTTTGGATAAATCTTTGCCTTTTTACTGCTACTGGACCAGTGGCAATTAAAAAAACATAGACTAAAAAAAACCTCCTGTATACGATAATATAAGAAACAGGGGGAAAAAAAACCCCACCCAATCCACTAATCTAGTAGTTTGTGATAAAAACTAAGTCCTGCTCCTGTTCTTTGCAATGGAAGAATAAAGGATGCATCAATATCAGGCAATGATACCACAAAATGAGTGACAGTAAAAAAAACCTGGAACTAGGTTTTAGTAAGAATTTATAGCGAGACATGTTACCAAATCAAATGGCACATGCTTTATGGGTCTGGATAGTTTAATTTAAAAAAAAGGCTTTGCTTTCTTCCTACAAAAGCAACCATCACATTGTGCTGACAGGCCAAAAAGAGCAACAGTCCTCACTAAAAAAAGTGCACTCGACATACAGGGGTATATTATGAAATGTGCAGAGGGAAGAACAAGTTGTTCACGAGTGGGGTAGGCAAGTGGCTGTCTTGGGACATGGGTAAGTTTTTTGTGATGTCAAAACCAGATTCTTTGCTGTTCTCTGAAAATTTGCTTCTGGGTGTGACCATCTTTCTAACATTTAGGAAACCATGAGATGTACTCAGCTCTGCTCAGCTGCCCAGCAGACTGCCCTTTCTTTTTCTACAGAGAGGGTCTTATAGAGAGCTGGATCAAAGGGTGCATTATTAAGGGACCTGTACCACTTCAAGTCTTCTAATTTGGAGACTTTAACATCAAGTCATAAAAGAAAGAAAGGAAAATAAATTAGCATAAAATATCAAAGCAAGAAACAACAAAGACTTTGCTAACAATTCCCAAAGATACTGAGAACTCATATTACATAAGCTCAAAGTCTAGACTCAACTCCTCACTGCTGGGTCTTCTTCTATAATTCATTTTTGGAAATTTGAGGTACTGATGCTAATATTTATAAACCATACTGGAAAAAAAGGAGGCTGGTGATAGTCTGAAGTCATTTTTAGTTCTAATAATGTTTTTCACTATTTTTGAGAAATAATGATTTCAAAACAGCAACTGTTCATATATGTATAGAACTTTATAACTTCTAAAGCACTTACAACACACATTAGCTCATTTGACCCTCACAACAGCCCTGTGAGGTAGGAAGACAAGGTATTTTTCTTTCCATTGATAGGTGAGGAAACTGAGGTTCAGAAAAGTGAATTGCCCAAGGTTAATATGTGGTAGAGCTGGGACTTGCCTTCAGGCCTTTTGACTAAGTCTACCATTCTTTCCACTACACCATTCACTCTGCCTCATATAAACCAACGATTGTTAGGGACAACTAAGACTCCTACATTCAATACTATCACAATTAATTTCTGTATAGACTCAAAACTTATTCCCCATAGATTCAAGTGAGTCTTAAAATAATGTTATGCAAAGCATATACAGAGGATCTGTTTTCAATAAAAGCATCTAAAAATTCCTCAAGTGGCTGAAGACATAGAGATATGTATTCAAGAACCCCCAAGGATACCTGAATTGTCTTGCAGGGTTGTGCTATGTTAAGCTGAGGTTCCTGAACAGTGAAGGAAAAGCACTCAGCACTTTAAGTGAAAGATTACCACTTACTTGTTACTGCAATGTTGATTTCTCCTGTTCGAGGAGTGAGCTCCCCATCCTGAGGAAGTTGAGACATCCCAGAAGTGCGAAGTGGCTCAAGGCCAAGGGAGCTGTCACTGGCAAGGTCACCAAGTGCTGATCTTCGATTAGCAGCTTGGCTTCTGGTAAGCCTTTCCATGTCAAAAGCTACATTATCAGTACATGGCAAATTTGGCTGAAAAATATTTTCAGATTAAAAATTACACATATTTATTTTTATAGATATGAATAAAATAATAAGAGTAAAGATAAGAAATCTTAAACAGGGTTTTAGAGAATCCGTTTCTAAGTTATCCGGTGGGAAAAATATTCTCCCACCAACTTTTTTCATGTTTTCATCATTCTTTTCCTTAAGAGAACTTTGAAAATAATGAATTCTTTTAAAAGACCTAAAAATTTTCAATGAAGGCACATTACTACAAAGTAACATCGTTATGCATTGCAGCATTGATAAAATTAGTTACTACACCTTTATAAGATAGTTACAGACTTTTTGGGGGAATAAAACTAGAGTTCTGGCCCAAAGGTAGATAAAAAGAAGCTGGAGTCTTCATTACAGAGCTGAAACCCAATGTGAAAAGCAAGAATTATACTAATTTGGCTAAGTGATTTAGTTTGGTGGTGAATAATAAAGTGTTATTTAAAATATTCAAATTCATTCTATTATTTCTTTATCAATATAGATTTAAAGTAATGATTCATTTAGGGTGGTCAGACAAACACAACCATCCAAAACAAAAATCATAATGTGAAAAAGAATTCTGAGTGAGAAAAATAGCTGGTCCAAAGTCAAGGTAGTGGAATGGGAGATGTTGGAGTCAGGCAAGACCTGAGGTTGAATCTGTCTTTGAGACTGGCCTGTGTGAACATGCTTTCTGAGCATCAGTTTCTTAATCCTTAAAACAGGGATAGCAGTGCCTGTAGTAGTTACCTCATAGGGTTGTTGTAAGGATCAAATGCAAAAATACATGTAAAGTGCCTTTTAAACCATAAAGTACTATATAAGTGGACTGTTATTATTATTGTTATTTCATACTGAGCTTGTAGTCCATGAATTTCTGAAGTAATTTCACAAAAACTGTTTATTTCTGTCTACTCCACCTACCTATGCATTTGATTTTTTTAGACCTAATTGTATGTATCATTTTACATTAATCCCTATTAAATGTCACCTTATTGGATTTGTCCTTATTGGATTTGTCATTCAATATGTTAGGAATCTCCATCTCCTATCAAGGTGCCTATCATCTGAAAGCTTAATAAGTATTTCAACTATATCTTTGTCCATATTATTGATTAATATATTGAACACAGTAGGGTCAAGAATAGATAGACTCCTGGGGCAATTCACTAACGACCTCCAAGAACACTGACCTCAATCCACCAATTACTATTTTTGGCACAGTCACTTAATTTATCTAACTTTATTTTCAGTTTACATCTTTCCATTTTACCCACAAGAATATCATGACATCCTGTCAGATCTCATGGAAATCCAGATATCCTATAACTAAGGTATTCACCTAACTCTAGTAATCCTGTCAAGAAAGGGAATGAGGCTAAACTGGATATGACCTGTATTTAATTAATTCAAGCTAGTTCTTAGTGCTTTTTGATTCCTTTCTTACGACTCACAGACTATTCTTTAATAATACATTTTAGAATTTTGGAAGGAACTGAAGTTAAATTACCAGCCCCTGGTTTGAAGAATTCATTTCATTATTTAAAAAAACAGTACACTTGTAAGGTACTGTGACGTAATTTTAAAAAGATTATCTATAGTGGCCCAACAATCACACATCCACAAGTTGTCACTTCTCTAAGGTATCTGATTCTGATGACCTAAATGCACTGAGGTCAACCAAGGACTTTCGATTGCTTGTGAACATTTTTATTTTATATATCCTTCATTGCCTTTTCTCCCTCATTTGTTGTCATCCTAATTTTCTTTTTGCTCCCCTGCCCCCCACCAAGGTACTTAAAGAGTACTTGTTGTCCTCAATATTCACTGCAAACCTTAACTGGTTCTGTGCTTTGGCATTCTTAATATTCATAGAAAACCATACTACTTGTTAACAAATTCTTAGTTTTCTGTACATGCATTAATTTTCTATACACACTTTTCAGAAATGTGTATTGGTTGATGAGTTCCTACTGTAGCTACACATATCTCTTTGGCAACTCACCATTTTCTTCCTCATATCCATCTGTTTGTTTCTTCAGAATTTTGTTCTTAAGAACATCTCTCTTAAGCCAACTTTGACAATTTTAGGAGGCAGGATCCTATCTGAGCTCTTTGGAATTGCCATTACCTGGCCATCCCCAAGCCATACTGCCTGTTTCCACCAGAATTCATACTTATTCCCTTGGAACCCTGGGCTCTGCTGAGCTTTCCTCTTACCAGGTCTTGGGTCAAAAGTTCCACTTCCTGGCATTATGCTGTCAGGAAGTCTGACCTCCAGCTTCCTCCCCTTTCAGACCTTGGACTCCTGCCCCTGGGCAGGACCCTGGGCGCTGGTTGGTAAGCTTTCACTTTATCTTACTTGGTCTTGGACCTACTACATAACTTCTTGGTTATCTCCGAGCCATGATAACCCTTCCCCCTGCCTTTTGCTTTCCAACTCTTGTTCTTCCTCCATATGAGTTGTCTTCCTCATTAGAATATAAGCTCTTTAAGGGCAGAAACTATTTTGCTTTCTTTGTATCCCCAACACTCAGCCTAGTTCCCTAATAATCGCTTATTCATTTCCTCTTCTAAAACTTAGGGTGAAAGCCAGATGTTTGGCCTTTGTTTAGCATGAACATTAAGATGGTGTGGTTGCTTCCTTGTGAGTTTTTCATCATTTCTCTTTTGGAAATCAGTAAATTTGTTGGTCAGAATATGGTTTTCCAAGTCATGTGTTCTACTCCTTAAAAAATAAAATCATTATTGACGCAAGTCAAGAATTTATAGACTGTTCTATTTTTTTTTTTTAGCAAAATGAGATTTTTGACAGAAGACTGATTAACAGCAGGCTCTTGCTGCTACTATCATGCCTCCTTATTTGTGATTTTCCCTGAACTCATCTCTGTTCTCCTGATCAGGTGGCCTGAAGTATACTTCTATCACAACACTGCTTCTGTTTCTCTCCTTAATTATATTTATGCAAATATTTCCCATTGTCCTTTTCCTTTTTTAGCCTGAATTTTCTCACAAGAGTATACCTTCTTGACATACAACACTATTCTACTATTGCTTTCATTTAATACGTTCCCTGTAAATTATTTCCTTGAATTGTCAGATTTTGTTCATGAAATCATATCCTACAAGGTTCAGTGATACCTATAAGACTGAATTTCACCTCCTTTTACTAAGATTTCTAGTTCAGTCTAATTCACTCTATTAATATGTGTACAGACACCTGAAGCCATGAGTATTTTTACTGTCCCATTTCTTGAATATTGTCTTCTCTAAATTATTACACCTTCTCATAACTGCTAAAACAGTTCTTTGTCCTTTTAACATTTCCTTGCAGCAACCCTGTCTGCTTATAGGACTCATGGGTTCTGTTAAAAGGGTTCATGCATAAGTAATTTAATATCAGAATTCTCTACATAATGCTTAAATATAATTGTGCAGGTTTGTCACAGTTTCTGTGTACCAAAACCTTTTTGTTTTACTCCTTAAATGAGAAAATGCTCACCAGCTTAGAGCTAAACTCTCCACCAGAGACTTTCTTCCAAGGTTATCTCAAATCATTAATGGCTGCTTTTTGTGTCCATTTGTTTCACCTAACTGTACTGTCTAGGTCATGTCGCTTTATCATGTTCATGAGACAAGCACAATAGACTTTGAAGAATGCTTTGCTAAAAATCCAGATAAATTTATTTATAGCATTTTTCAAGTTAATAGATTACCTGTACCTAAAATCTGTCTTCCCATTTTATTTACTGCTTTATGTTTATATGCTGATCGTGGTCTAACTCAACATACAAAAATGTTTCCTGTGTTAGAAAATAGAAAGACTTGTTTAAATTGTCATATACTTAAGAAAAACAAATTTATTGCTATGTACAAACTTGCAAAGCCTGCATAACTGGTTTCTTAGATATCCAAGGCCAAAGGGTGTTCCACAGATGTTACAAGAGATGGGCTCCTACCCTCCAAACGTGACTGATCTGCTGGAGAAAATAAATATTGAATAACCTGACTGTTAACCTAAGAAAAGTCTTGCTTGTACCACAATACTCTGATCTATCAGCCCAACCCTTAAAAAAAAATGAAATAAGACTAGTCTGACACAACTACTTAAGCTATGCTGGGTTTTTGTAATCATTTCATCTTTATCTGGATGTTCGCTAACTATCCCATTGATGAAACATTCTAAGATCCTTTCAAGGTTCAAAGTTAAACTCACTGCCTAATAGTTTGCAGACTTCATTTTCTTCTCATTGAGACATGTTCTTTTCCTATCCTCTGGTACTAGCCATAGTTCTCCAAGATGCTTCAAAGATCACCTCACAGCTTAGTGATGATATCTGCCTTATCTTGCAGTACCCTACTGTAGTTCACTGGATCCAAGACACTTGAATTCATCAAGGGCTGCCAGCTGCTTTCTTAATATTTCCTTGTTTATTTCAGTCATTTAACTATTATTACCCATTTTTATTTTGTCCTTTCTAGTCCAAATATAATTTTCCTTGAAGAGAAAACAAGCAAAGTTGTCTTCTCTCCATTTAAATTGTCATCATTCTATCCATTCAAAGCAGTCTTGAGTCACTCTGAGCACTGGCAGGCCAGATACCTTTCTTTAAGAACCATGTCATACTTTTATCTTCAACTTCCTTTAACCTGCCTTTGATTCATCTTCCGTACCTATATTTTTTCAACCAACAGCGGTGTATGAATTAATTGGGAGAAAATAAAATAATCAAATTTACTTATATACAATAAACCTTACAAATTAAAAGATTTTTAATATATACTATGTCTTTTTGCTGCAACTACTTTTTTCTTTTTTTACAATATTTGGCACTGAATTAACAAGACTTTAGCACATACTCTTTAATTCTTTATCATGAAATCACACTTAGTACATTGGAGATACTAAGTATATTTTTGAGGAATAGTCCATTTTCCCAAATATAGCCTTGATTAAATCTCACAGATTTCCAAAGTGGTTTAAATCAGGCAAACTCCCTGGTCACTAAAGCATGTTTTATCTCCATCTGTTGCAAAAGTTTCTTAACCTTTCATGACATGTCATGGTGCAAGGCTGTGTTGCTGTATTCTATCTCCATTTGGGAATTTCTATAATAATCCTGCTTCTCAATATATCATTATATTTAACTGGGAACAGTACTTACAGGCTAACTAGAAGCAAAAAAAATCCCCAAAGGAATTTTTGGGTGGACGTTATACAGTCTGATGAAAATGCCCAGCTCTTAAAGATTCATGACAACAATTTGTTATAAAAGCCTTGAATGAAAAGGTGAATTTCATCAGTAAAAATGACCTTTTCCCAACTTTAGTACTCTTATCTTTGTACTGTTATATCTATGACCACGGTTTTTTTTCCCTTCAGAGTAATGGTTGGTAGCTGTTTTATGAGTCTTCTTGCTGTTTTTCCAACTTCAATAAGCCTATGTGACATTGTAAAGGAATCAGTAACAACCGCTCCAAATGCTAGGTCCTTCCAAAGATTTTTGCTTGTTTTCTGAGGTTTAATTATTTTACACCAATACTTTGTCATTTATTGGCTCTACTTTTCATTTTTTACCACACCTTCCTTTAAAAAGTTTTAGTGCAAATGATGGGTTTGAATGATCCTTGAAACACTTGATTTCCTCATACCAACAGCCGCTGCAATACCTCTAACAACCAATGAAGTGTACTACTTAAAAAGCTCCAACTTTTGCAAGTTTCCTCGGAATAATATCTAATCTTTAAAATCAAAGAGTTGGGATAGCTCGGTGGTACAGTGGATAGAGCACTGGCCTTGGAATCAGGAGGAATGAATTAAAGTCTAGCCTCAGACATTATTAGCTGTGTGACCCTGGGCAAGTCACTAACCCCCATTACCTCCAAAAAAAAAATTCAAAGAATTAAAAACATAAGATCAATGGCACAAAATCCAGGACTTAAGTGATAAAGAGCTAACTACAAGTAGGGCAACCTGCTTAGTCTTGTCTCACTTGGTCAAGGACAAATGTCCTGTGACAACCTGGTATCAGTAGAAGCAAACATGCATGACCGTTGCTTTCACAAAATGAAACCATATCAAAATCACTGCTCGGGCCAAGTAACCTGTATACCACGGTAAGCTGCTGATGAGTTCCCTCCGCATCCACACTGGTCTCGGATACAACTCCCCCCTTCTGTTCTCATCAGAATTATTTTTCTTCTTGTCTTCAGAATTTCATTGCTGAAAGCTTCCCATCCCTCTTAGATTGGCTTCTCCCATACAACTTTAGTCCACAGGATTTCACTTATCCCCTCTGTGAACCCGTTAAAATCTCTCTCCAAATCTAAGTTATATATTAGACTATTCTTGGTTTTCCTCTCCTCTTTCACAAATTCTAGGGTGCAGTGGTCACTTGCTCCTACGGCTGCCATCATTTCTATACGAATAGCCAGTTCATCTTGAATAAAAGCTCCCCTTCTTGTTTACTCTGACTTTTGAAGGATGAAGTTATCATGAAGTCAAGTCAGGTTGCAATGATTTTTGTAGAGATAGCTGGAATAGATGTTTGGATAACTGAAGTCCCCTACCGTTATCCTATTACGCTTCTGTGCTAGGCTTGTGATGTTTCTCAACTTTATTTCCCTTTTCTGTCTGAGTAGTCTATAGCAGTGACGTCAAACTCAAAAAATACAAAAAAAGGGATCCCCGTGAGCTACGAGTTTGAGACCTCTGGTCTATTGTCCCTGACGACAATATCACTTCTATTTCTGCTTCTATTGATATTTACACAGGTACTTTCCCTTGTTCCCATAAGGCTCCTGCTTTGGTTCCTAGATTTTCTCACATGAGTACATCTTCTTAACATACAATGCTACTATACCCTTGCCCCTGCTTTATCAGGTTTCTTTTGAATGAAGCATGTACGTGTGTACACACACACACACACACAGACACACGCACACGTATATGTATGTATAGACACATATCTTTAATATATGTATATACACATATATCAATCCAGCATCATGTTCCAGTCATAGATTTCATCCCATCAAATCTCAAGTGATACCTTCTTATTTAAGCTCATCTTATTACCCATTCTATGGAAAACACTCACCAAGACTTGTATCTTTGTTCCAGTTTTACTTTTTTCTTGATGTCAGATTTAAGAGTCATATTTGCCCATTCTATATTTCAGGCATTCCTGCCCTTTTCTTCTTCAAAGTGACATAATAGCTGTCAATGCTCTTCAGTGAGTATCATGAGATTAACTAGAGCTTTAAGCTACTTAGAAGAAAAGTGCTATGTACATCTAATTATGCAGTTATGTGATAAACATGCTATTTCCCTACTTGATGGATCAAGACCTTCAAAAAATTTAGGGATTATTAAATGAATTTATCAAGTAACTCTTGGGAGTTTCCTGGTATGCCATTTATCCTGTTTCCTAAAAGTATCATAACTACTGTCTTCAAATTGAGTTAATGAATGTGGAACACTTTTAAAGTACTATACAAATATAAATTATTATGTTAAATATAGAAAAGAATCTGGATACAAGAATCCATTAAGAAACATACCATAATTCCCAAAGCCTTCAAAATGTTCAGTTTGCACATAGGACAAGTACAATGTTCACTAAGCCAGGGATCCACACAGGATTTGTGAAAAACATGCCTGTTAAATAAAAAAGAATCTTATTACAGCAATCATATAGAATTAAACATTAATAACCAGAAGTCAAATAATTAAATATACAGTTAACTTTTTTGCTCCTTTTTGGAGAAAAAGGCAAGTCTCAAGAACAGTAGTGTTAGGCATTCACTAAAGAAAAATTCTCAAGTCTAGGAGTCAGAACAAAGGACTATCAATCTCCTTTATCTTCTACATTTGGTTTTGTAAAGGAGAAATGAAGTTCAAAATGATGACAAAAACCCTTTCAGAGAAGGGGCCCACTATCTCCACAACTACTAGAATCAACTGTTGACTAACACTGATAGGACAGGCCCACTAGCCTAGCTGAAGCAGCGAGTCACCATCGGTGAGAGAGGGGAAGCAGCTGGCACGTGCCAGATAGTTCAAATCACTGCTACCACCATCCACCTTCCCTGAGTCCTTGACACCAAGCCCAAACGTCTAGGGGATAAAAGGGCCCACCAAGCTGCTACCACTGCTTCAAGCCCAGCTCCAGCAGCCATCATCAAGGGGAGAATGGGTTACGATCCACCAACGTCAATTACTGACTTTTGGGACAGAGAAGCCAGCCTAGATGAAGTAGCAAGGAATTCTGAGGGTGAGACAGGAGGTGCTACATGCCAGGCAAGTCAGACCACCTTGACTATCACCCTCCTCAGACACTGGTGTGGAGAGCCCAAGAGCCCCTGGATTTGTAATGCCCAACAAACCAAGACCCTGCTTCCAGTTTGGCTCTTGTAGGCATTATCAAGGGGAGCAAACCTTGTGAAGAAGGGGATCACAACCTCTGTGCTCCCAATACCATCAACCACTGAACTGCCATGGATGGGCAGGTGAGCCCAAGAGCCTTAGGAACAGCAGCTCCACAGACTACCAGCTCTGCTTCCAGTCTGGACCTTGAAGCCATAGTCAAGGGAAGTAACTCTTGTGAGCATGAAACCCGGTAACTTCCTCTGCAAGGTGCTGTACCTCCCATGTTCTTAGTAGCCACAGCTACTGAAGAGCCAAAAAAGCAAGTCCTTATCACCAGAGTTCTTGCCACTAACAAATGCTGCAACACCAGAAGCTGATAGCTTTATTAATGGACATAACATTAAAGAACATCTATTATCACCCACTTTGCTGCTGCACCCTAAGGACCATGGAGCCTCACCATTTGATTTGCAGCTAAAACTCCTATATGTGTTATCTTCTCTAATTAGAATGTGAGTTCCATGAGAGGAGGGACCATCTTGCTTTTCTATTTGTATTCCCAGAGCTTAGCAAAAATACTTTGTATACACTAAGTGCTTGATGCTTTTCCATTTATAGTCTTGAGATAATTAAAAAGAAAATTTATTCTGAACTTCAACACCAGAAAAGAACATTTCCATATGCAAAACAAAAGACAAAAAGAGAATATGATATGAAATCGTGAATCTCCACTTCATATAGCTTGCTTTTAAAATACATAAAAAGTAAATCCTAAAGATTAATTTCAAAACTGTGATTCCTCCTAAATTTCCTTTTGTGCATTGAAAAACTGTGATTTTTTTTTCTGGCATCACTACTGTTAACCTCTCTTTCCTGGCCCTCTCCTACCCTTAAAAAATTAAAGAAAAAAGAAGAAAAAGCCCTCATAACAAATAAGTATGGTAAAACAAAATGAATCCACACAGTGGCCATGTCTAAAAATGTACATCTTTTTCTGCACCTTGCGTCCATCATCTCTCTGTCAGGAGGTAAGCAATACGTGTCATCACAGATGTTCTGCAGGCACTGCTAATCCTTATTTGCTTTCCTATACAATGTTGCTGTTCTTCTGGTTTTGCTCACTTCCCTCTGCATCTGTTCACACTACTCGGGATTCCCTGAAATAGTCTCTTTTACCATTTCTTATGGTATGATTATGTTCCATTACATTCACATACCACAATTGGTTTAGGCATTCCCTAACAGTCTAAGAGGAATCTGAGGCACTCCTTTAGATTCTAGTTCTTGGCAATATTTTTTTTCTTTTTACTTCTTTTAATCCTTTTCCTTCAAAATCAGGAAGTTTGTTTTGCTTTTGACTATTCCTTCCACAATACTGTCTTTCCTCCCTTTCCTCTTCTCCCACCCCTTTTGTTTTGCCACTGAATCTGATGTATTTTCATACCAAACTATTTGAGAGTGAGTGCTCAACCCTCTGTTGCCTGTTCATCTCATGCTTATTCTCCTTATCCCTTCCTCTCTGTATATTCTTCTCTCTCTCTCTCCTCTCTCTGTCCCCCCTCTTCTCTCTCTCTCATTTTGAGAAATAACAAGTTTTCCCTTCTTTTTACACTCCCTAATTCCTCTCTTTACTCTCTCTCTCTTCCCCAAACACTCAGGACAGAACTGATCCAACCCTAAGACCTGTATTTTTCTTATTTGATTTTATCAATACTCTTTGAAGTACTCAGGTTCTGAAGAGACACTTCAGTCTTCCCCGCCCCACCCAGAATGTTAGCACTACATTGTCTCCTTAATTACTTAATTAATTTTACCTTTCCAGTTTTCTTCTGACTCTTGTTTGTATTTCACTGTTTTTACTCAGCTCTGATCTATTCATTAGGAATTCTTGAAAGTCTTCTATTCCATTAAAAGCATATTTTTTTCTTGTAGGACTATGCTCAGCTTTGCAGGGTAAATTATTCTTGGTTGCAAGCCTCTTTTGTCTTTTGGAAATATTGTATTTCAAGATCTCTTCTTGTTTAGAGTGGAAATTGTCAAGTATTAATGATCCTGACTGAAGCTCCTTGGTACTTGAACTGATTCTTTCTGTATGCTTGCTTTGATGTGAAAGCCCTGAATTTTAGCTGGGGCTTTTCCTTTTGGGGTTCTTTTCAGAAGATTATTGGAAGATTCTATTTTCTACTTTGCCATTCTGAATACTTATTATTTATGGTTTCCTGAAATAAAGTATTTAGACTTTAAAAAAGAATCATGGTTTTTAAAGTATCCAATAGTTCTTAAATTATTTTGCCTTCATTTGTTTTCTAGGTCTGTTGTTTTTGATATTAGATAGTAGAATGGAGTAGATTTGATATTGGATAAAGGAGTAATCATTATTATACATGTTTGTTGCAAGGGTTTTTGTTTTTCTTTATCAATGGGGGAGGAAAATGGGATAAAGAGAAGGTGGATTTTTAATTTTAAAAAAGTAGTTGTAATAGGTTGATATCTAATCAGAAAAAGGTTGCTAACAGTGTGACTCAAAGATCTATCCTTCACCCTGTGCTATTCAATATTTTGGTTACTCAGACGACACCATAAAGGCACACTTGTCAAATATTCAGATGACACAAAATCGGGAGGGGCAGCTAACAGCTTGGATGACAGAGTCAAGATCCAAAAAAGACTTCACCAAGCCAGAATGCTAGGTTATAGCAAATAAAATGAAATTTAGGAAGGATAAATGTAAGTTCTATACTTGGGTTAAAAAAAATCAGTGTCACAAGCATTAGGTGGGGGAAATTTAGTTAGATAATAAACAGTTCCCACGAAATTGATCTTTTTAGTGAATCATAAACTCTACATGAGTCATTTATATGACATGGCAGCCAAAGAAGCTAATAACATACCAGGATGCATCCAGAGAAGTAGAATCAAGGGAGGTTAATTGTTTCATTATATTTTGTCCTGGTCAGGCCACATCTGGAGCACTATATTTGTTCTGGGAACCACATTTTAGGGCAAACTGAAGCTTCTCCAGAAAAGGGAAGGCGGAGACGACTGGAGATGTTATATAAGGATTGGTTGAAGGAACTGCGGATATTCAGCCTGGAAAAGAGATGACTTGGGAAGACATGATAGCTGACCTCAAATATCTGAAGGGTTATCATATAAAAGAAGGCTTATATTTGTTCTTGACCCCAGAAGGAAGAACTATGAATAATGGGTGAAAATTAAAACTTCAAACATCATGTAAGAAAAAGCATTCTAACAATTAAAATTATCTAAAAGTAAAATGATATGACTTAGGAGAGAAATCCTCTCTCACTGGAGGTCTTCAAGCAGAGGTCAGATGATGATTTGTTAGGAATGCTATAGAAAGGATTCTTGATCAGGCATGGGTTGGACTTTTAGGTTTTTTCTAACACTTAGATACCGTAAATAACACTAAAAGTTCATCCTCTAGGGCCAGGTGGAATGATTCTAATACCTCTTCTATTTGACATCTCTTCAAACTCCTGAAGATAGTTTTCGTGTCCTTCTAAGTCATTTCTTCTCCAGGATAAACATCCACAATTTATAGTATGGTTTATTTATAGTATGGCTTATGTCACTTTAATCCCTTAATCACTAACACTTTATGCTGTGGGGTAAGTTATAATATTCACCAACCTCCAAACCTGTCCCATATTTTCCCACTTCTCCATCTTTTCCCTTTATGTCTCCAAAACCTGGACTGTTCTCATTTCTACTTGTGGCAACATTACCCATCTTTCTCCTTACCCTAGCACCTTGCTACCTTCTCTATGAAACCTCTGATCTCAGCTGAAAGTAATTTTTCAGTTATGATTTCCATATTTATCCATTTATTTATTTATTTATTTATTCATTCATTTATTCATTCATTCATTCATTCATTTATTTATTTTTGGTGAGGCAATTTGGTGAGACTTGCCCAGAGTTGCACAGCTAGTGAATATTATATGTCTGAGGCTGGATTTGAAGTCAGGCTCTCCTGACTCCAAGGTCGGTGCTCTATCTACTATGCCACTAGCTGCCCCAGATCTCCCAGCATTTTGTACACTTCTTAGGCACTTCTAATTTTATTATACTTGCTTGTTTATGTATTTTATCATGTATAGCTCCTTGAGGAAAGGACTTGCTTTTATCTAAACTTTGAATTAAGTCCACGAGCATGCTGAGCACAGACAGGATCACAGATTTAGAGCTGGAAGGTATGTCAGAACCCTTTTAGCTTCATGCCCCTCCCTCACAGATGAGGAAGGAGACGTCCAGAAAGTTCAGTGACTTGCTCAAGGCATTATACCACACTGTCTGCCTTAAATGTCATAGTAGGCACTTATAATTTTACCTCTCTAGGACCCATCCGTAAAAATGGGTTGGGGGCTGGACTAAATAAATGGTCTTAAAGATCCCTTCCAGCTTTAACATTTCATAGTCTATCATCTCAAAAGTATTCTTAATTTAAAAATAAAATTTACTTCTACAACAGGTCAAAAAAGGGCTTACTTGCAGGGCAGAATTCGGACGATATCATTTTGCTTGTAGCTCTCTATGCACACAGCACAGTGATCAAAGTCTGGATCTGTTTCCTGAAACAAATAGCACAACAGCAAGAAATAAGGTGCTGCAATTACATTAGCCATGAAAGTGACATGGTTATTAGCAGACTCAGAATTCTCTAGTGGCTATAAAATATGCAAGTTGGTTATGAAATAAGATGTTATAAAAAAGGATCACAACCATTATTCCTTCACCATCAATTTCTTCTAAATAATTTTCTCCATTTATTGGCTCTACTTTCTTAAACAATCTCAACTCCTTTAACCCTTGTTGTCTGGCTTCTGCTTCCATCATAATGTAATGTAAGGAAACTGTTCTCTAGATCACTAATACCACATTAATATCAAATCTACTGAATTTCTCTCAGTCTTCACCTTCAACAACACCACTACAGAACCTGACTGATACTATTAACCATCCTACTAACCCCTGCTTTGGCTGCACTTTCTTGGTGGTTCTAATTTCCTGACTTGCTTTTTCCTCTATTTACTTCACCAGTACCTCCTCCTGTTCCCACCATAGATGTAGGTATTTTCCAAAGTCTTAGGACTTCTTTCCAATTCTCTCCCATTTCTATAGCTTCAACTGTTACTTTTCTGTGAATATCTCCCAAATTGCTATCTCCAGTCCTGACCACATTCCCAAATTAATATTTACAACTACTCACTAGATGCATTCACTTGGATTTCCTACCAGCATTTACTCTACTTATCTAAAACTAAACACTAGACCATTAACTAACTTTCCCACAAACTAATTTCTCTAACTGAAATGTCTATTTTTATTATTGGCACCACGGTTCTCTTGGTCAACCAGATTTGAAATAATCTTTGATCCTTCCTTCTCCTTCATGCCTCTTTTCAACTATTCAACCAATCACCAAGCCTATCAATGCTTTCCCTTTCCCAGCATCTCTTGAATCCATTCCTTCCTACTAATTCCTCTCAACACCACCATAGTTTAAATCATCTTCACTTCATACGTGAGACGGGACCAAGAAAAGAGGCAGAGAGGGCCTGACTATTCCCCATAAAATGCAGCCTGGCTGACTGGTCACAAATCTGTCTGTTCTAATCATCCATTCAGCATGGGTTCTTGTTCTGTCAAACATGATTGCCTTGGGGAGCAGTAAAAGATGGCACATATTTGTGAAGAGACAGATGGAGAGAAATACTGTTGGTAGAAGATCACAGACTCTCAGAGTGGAAAGAGACACTCTCTACCCCCATTTCCATCTCTTGCTTTGGGCACAGTTATCAAATCAATAAAGCCACTGATTCTGGAAAGAGTGTGTCAATCAGCTACCTTATGGATCAACTCACCATCTCTGTGACTTCTCATTCCAAAATTCCCTTACTTGGCTTTCACACTCCCTTTTATGTGTTGTCTCTCCCTATTAAAATATAAACTCCTACTTTACTGTACATAATAATAGCAATATTGTGATGATAATCAATTGAGAAAGACATAGCTACTCTGATCAATACAATGATCAATGACCATTTCAAAGGACTCATGATGAAAGATGCTGTCTACCTCCCAAAAGAAAAGTGATAAACTCTGAGTGCAAAGTGAAGCATATTTTTTACCTGATTTTTCTTGCACTATTTATTCACTCACTTATTTATTTATTTGTCCACTGTGTATCTATTGCAGTGTGGGTAATGTGGAAATATGTTTTGCATGACTTCATATATAAAATGGGCAGTGTATTTTTCGCCTACTCAATGGGTGGGGGAGGGGTGAAGGGAGGGAAAGAGTTTGGATCTGAAAATAAAAATTAAACAACTAAAAAAAAAGAATATAAATCCCTTGAAGGTAGGAACTATTTCATTTTTTGCATGTGTATTCCCAGCACTTAGTACAGTAACTAGCATACAGTGCTTAATTAAAACTTTATTTTTTGTCCATTTATTAATGTCCTCTCTCAGACTTTTCTTTTCCAGGATAAACATCCCTAGATCTTTCAATAAATATGACATGCTAGCATTTGATATGTTCTCTGGTCCTCTCACCATCTTGGTTTACCTTCTTCTGGATATGCTTCATTTTGTCAATGTTATTCCTAAAATGTAGCACCCAGAATTGAACTTCAGGTATGCTCTGAAGAGGTGGGGTTACAGCTGACTGAGCTACCTCAGAAACTTACAGTAATCTGTACAGTAATCTAATAAATTTTTGTTCAATTTGAATATGAGACATTTATTTAGCCAGAAAACACAATGTTTTCCAGAGAGAGGCAAATATAAGGTGCAGTCATTTGAATAGCAACACTCAAAACTACAGAAACATAGATTCATAGATTTAGAGCTGGAAGAGATCTCTTAAACCCTTTAACCCAACCCTCTCAGTTTATTGATTTTTTTTTTTCCAAATAGCAAGGCATTTATTTCTCCCTCCTACCTCCTACTATTTTAATGGAAAAACAAAATAAAACCCTTATAAGGAATATACATAGTTAGGTAAAACAAATTCCAGCACTGGTCAAGTCCAAAAACACGTCTCATTCTACATGTCGAATCTAACAAAGACCAAACCAACCCTCTCCCTGTCAAGAATAATAAAGCAAAACAAAGTATGCGGTCAAGAGGTAGGTAGCACAGATCCTCTCTGCAACTGCAGTTGATTATAGCACTGATCAGAGTTCTTAAGACTTTCACAGTTTGACTTGACAATATTATTGTTATGAAAATGATTCTCTTAATTCTATTCACTTAATTCCTTATTGGATTATACAAATTTGTAAAAAAAATTATATTTATTTTCTCTTCCTCCAACTTCCCTCCCCTTAAATAAGCCCCCCCTTCCTCCCCCCCCCAGTCAAATGAATTCAATCCATTCACTAGCCATGTCAAAAAATATAAGGACTTTGAATCCATCATCTTTCTCTCAGGAGGTAGGCACTGTATTTCAACTCTACAATTGCCATTTGTTATAGTACTGATCAGGGTTCTAAAGTTTTTCAAAGGTTTTTTTCCCCCTTATATTATGTTACTATCATTGTATAAATTGTTCTCTTGTTTCTGCTCACTTCACTCTGCATTTGCTCTTACAGATCTTCTGTTTCCTTTAAATGGCTCATTACTCATTTCTTATAGAACAATAATATTCTCCATTATATACATATATATATATATATATATATATATATACACACATACATATATATCTCCATTTATATATATATATATATATATATATATATATATATATAAAAACATAAATAAAACTATATATATTATATATATAGTTTGTTTAACCATTTTCCAGTAGGTAGGCACCCACCTTGATTTCCAGTTTTTTACTACATAAAAAGATCTCACATAAAATTTGTATAATGGGTCCTTTTCCTGTTTCTTTTATATTTTGGGGGTATAGGCCAAGTAGTAGTATAGTTAGGTCAAAGAATTTAGTGACTTTTGAGGCATAGTTCCAGAATAAATGGAACAAATCACAACTCCATCAACAGTGCCTCAGTGTGCACGTTTTCCCATAGCCTCTCTAATGTTTATCATTTTCTTTTTATGACTTAATTGAAATTATTTTTTCTCAATTACATGCAAACAAAAATTTTTAACATTTGCTTTTTTTAGATTTTGAATTCCAAATTTTCTCCCTCCCTCAATCAGCTTTCCTCTCCTTGAGAACGTACACAACCTGATACAGATTACATATGTATAGTTATGCAAAACGTTTCTGTATAAGCCATGCTGCAAAAGAAAACAAAGACCAAAAAACCTCCCAATAATAACAAAGCAAAAAAAATATGCCTCAATTTGCATTCATATGCCATCAGTTTTTTCTCTGGAGGTGGACAGCATTTTTCATCCTAAGTCCTTCAGAACCGTTTTGTATCACTGCATTGCTGAGAATAGCTAAGTCATTCACAGCTGATCATTGTACAATATTGCTGTTACTGTATACACCATTCTCTGGTTCTGCTCATTTCACTTTGCATCGGTTCATGTAAGTCTTCCCAGGTTTTTCTGAAAGCATTCTGCTCGTCATTTCTTATAGCACAATAATATTCCATTACAATCATATACCACAACTTGCTCAGCCATTCCCCTATAATGTTTACTATTTTTGCCAATCTGGTAGGTGTGAGGTGAACCTCAAAGCTGCTTCAATTTGCAGATTTTTATTTTGCTTTTTTGGTGAGGCAATTGGGGTTAAGTGACTTGCCTGGGGTCACACAACTAGTAAGTGTCATGTGTCTGAGGCTGCATTTGAACCATAATTTCTTTAAAGGTGAAGAAACTCAGGCCCAGGGAGGCTAAATGGCTTGCCCACGGTGACAAAAGGCAGAACTGACACCCAAGTCCTCTGAATCAAGAGCCAGTGTGTACTCCAATGTATTTTGCCACCTTCTTGCTGAGTCCTATTGAGGCAGCCCTTGAGGATCGATTATCCAATTCATAGTTTATAGGATCACAGAAATTGAGGCCCAGAGAAGTGAAGGGGCTTACCCAAAGCCACAGAGTGCCAGAGCCAGAATTGGAAGTAATGAAATGTTATTAATTTGAGTTACAGGGGAATACAGTCCGAATTAATCTCAACTGCAGAATGTGATCAGCAAGAAATGAAGTTTTTTTTTTTTACTTTCAAATTCATATAGTAAAGCGAAAGCAATGAGAAATTCTTGGGGGAAAATATACTTTAATGAATGGATGAGAATGAACTGTCTATACAAAACGGGTACCTTTTGGGCATCTGGAAATAATTTCCCCTACTAAGGTAGGAGATATCTATTTCAAGTTTGTGTATAGTGTCCCTTTAGAAGAGATTTCTTCCAAATTGAGATAAGGTTGTGATCTCAAATCAACCGAATTTGAATTATTCAATTTAATAAATTAAATGTCTTTAATTTGATAGGCACTGTGTATTGGGGATAGAAAGACTCCAAATAAATAAGAATGCTATATTCTTATTAGCTTTCACTCATAGAAGCTATGACAAGTTATTATGACAAGTTTTGTTCAATTAAATTCTGAAGTCTCAAGTAAAATTATAAAATGAAGAAATATTTGGAATATGTCCAAATACACCATACAAAATGAATAAAAATGGCGCGCACGCGCACACACACACACACACACTCTGTAACAAGCTAAGTCTGCAATTTACTTAAGAATTTTGGTATAAATTGACATTAAGAACAATTGCCAGCAGAGGAAGAGGAAGTACAAGGTATAATACATCACAACACCAACAGTACAGGATAAGTATTTCTATATTTCAAAGTATTTCTCTTTTCACATGTAGTATACTTGTACTCCAAATATGTTAAGCCACATTATAGTGGAATACAAGTGGCTTTTTTCAGAAGGAAAAAATTAAAATAGTCAAATTAACAGTTTAATTAAAATTAAAATAGAAATTAATGGCATATTTTAAATTTCAGGTTAACAAATTAAAATAAAGATCAGACAATAATCTAAGACTCAAGACCTCTTCTTTCAGGAAGGTTTCCATTGTATCTTTTTATAATGAATTTCCTCAACATAAATATATGATATACACTAAATGTTTATTTATATACTACCTTAAAATGGATCTCTAGCTTTTTCATGCATAGTGACTACAAAACAATGAGCACATTTTCCACCATATCAAGTACATAATGGATGGTACTAGGTTTGGAGTCAAGACCACCTGGGTTCAAACTCCATCACTCATGCTTACTGGCTGTGTACCATGGCCAAGTCATTTAACTTTGCTGAGCCTCAGTTGCCTCATCTGTAGAATCTAGAGCATAGTATAATAGACGATTTATTTCTTCCTTCACGGGATTGTCGCAAGGACAAATGATTATACACATAAAACATTTTATAAGTAAAGCACGATAAATTATTAGATGTTATGATCATCTTTCCTATCTAGTGTACAAGTTTCTTAAGGACACTAGTTTTGATGTTCCTTATGTCATACCTTACCAGATGATGGGTATACAGTTAGGCTAAAAGATCACTGAATTGCACTTTCTAATTTAAATTCTTGACAAAAAGACCCTTTTCTGATTTTGAACCAGGTTGCCTTAAGGAAATCACTCTGTGATAATGAATTTTTCTATTTTAAAGATTGGTGGATAAAATAGATATTTAGTTATAACAAGTCCTACTGCTCTTTGTGACCAGCCTACTGCAGAAGAGCATCAAGATGCAGCCAGGTTGTGGGACTACCTTATTCTTTATAATTTCATCATCTACAAATGTATGCTTTCACAATGACATGCTTCATTGCAGCCAGGGCCTTCTAACTTTCTGTCCCTTCCTCCACCCCACTGCCACCTCCCCAAAATTCTGTCTTCTGCCCTAGGACCTAAACTTATCCTTCTCATTTCTATTCCCAGAAATTTTTTGACCTTTCACCACTTCTAGACTTCTGGAATACAGCATAATATAGAAGAAAAGAGTGATAGATCTGAGAATCAGATGATTTAACTATTTGAACCCTGGCTCTGCTTTGACCACTGGGAAAGTCAATTATTCTCTCTGGGCCTCAGTTCCTCATCTCCATAATTAGGGGGTTTCAGGTCTAAATCTGTGATAAAGTTGGACATGTTTGATTCCCCATATCAACAAAGGAATGGTCTTTGTTAATAGTGAACATAGTGAACATAATGGAAACCTTCCTGAAAGAAGAAGTCTTGAGTCTTAGATTATAGACTTGGGCTAGATCAAGTCAATAGTTTTTAGGGCGACTGGAAGTGAATGTATTATTGTGGTACATTTAATGGATTATGGGTAATTTCTGCATATTTTTTGGCACTGGAATTTAACCTTTGCAATTATAACTTTGATATTGTTCTTTGAAGTTTCCTGCTTTATATGCTATCTGGGAAGAGTGAAGAACTCAGAAGGTCTTCAGTTGTCCACCTACCTCCCTGGACTTACATGAGCAAACTAAGAACTTGGCTTACATAAGTGAACCTATAAGGAAATCCACCCTTAGGCTCTACTACCTAGCCCAGACCTGAAGAATGTTTAAGTAGTTCCCTCCTTTCAATGGTAGCAGGGAAAAAGATTATGACATAAGCTCTAACATGGTTTAAAGCAGGCAGGAAGAGAATTAAGTTTTATCTACCCAACAATTCTACTATTATAATTATTTAAAAAAGAATATCAAACTTTAGCAGAAGGAAAGCTAACTCTATTTTGGAAAAAAAAAAAGGAGTCAGAGAAGGCAAAGGCCATTTCAATGATACTAATGGCAGCTAGGTGGTGGAATGGATAGAGTGCTGGACCTGGAGTCAAGAAGACTCATCTTTGTGAGTTCAAATCTGGCCTCAGACAATTATCAGCTGTGTCACCCTGGGCAAAGTCACTCAGTTTGCCTCAGTTCCTTCATCTTTAAAATGAGCTGCAGAAGGAAATGGCCAATTACTCCAGTATTTTTATCAAGAAAAATCCAAATCGGGTCATGAAGAGTCAGATATGACTGAAAAACAACTGAACAGCAACAAAATGGCACGAGAATTTATCCTTTGGGAGAGCTAGAGACTCCTATGAAAAGTGTCTGAATGCCACAATGGAGCCAAGACTTGAAAGGGATAGGGAAAGGATACATCATATCTTTAAAAATTATAACAAATCAAACAAAAGTGTTTCTGCACACCAAAACCAAACTTAATTTTCACTTCTTATATGACATCGTAAAGTTCCTTCATTTCATACCTTATCACCCTTCTTTACTGTTCTTGTTGTCAATTTGCTGATGGCTTTCTTGGCTGCATCTCCAAGGCGACGCTATAAAAATGGAAAAGAAAAAGCACGTATTAAAATGTTAAGCTTCAAATAATTTTTTTCTATAAAATAATTTAATTTGTTCAGGTACTAATATTCTGCCTCATTCTCTCCGCCACATCATTCAGGTCTCAGTGTAGAAGATTCCTAAAAGGGTTCCAGAGTTAGTTATGGGCAGCAGTCAGAGTCTAGGAGTCAGATGAAGACAGACAGCAGCTGTGGCAGAACAGATCATTTGTCCAGCACTGCTGTGACAGCAGACATCCCAAAGAAGTCAAAATTTCAATGGCATTATTAAGAGAATCAAATGTCAAGAGTTACTGCTACATACAGGTCTGTCTGGATTTTTTTGGATTCAAAATACCATGCCACGTAAAATACTTTTTCTGATATTATAAGAACTGCTAACACTATCCTAAACTCCATGAATTTTATTTACTTTCACTGCAAAATGGTGACACTAATCACTATTATAAAAATAAATCTTGCTTTAATAAAATGAAATTCCTAACAGATTCTTTCCCATTGGAAACTACTCTCACTCTCTGATTTCTAAAAACGTATGAGCCTTTTCTCTTTCTTTCTTTTTTTTTTAAAGGCAATTGAGGTTAAGTGACTTGCCCAGGGTCACACAGCTACTAAGTGTCAAGTGTTTATTCTGAGGCCGGATTTGAACTCTAAGTCCTCCTGACTTCAGGGCCAGTGCTCTACCCACTGCGCCACCTAGCTGCCCCAAGCCTTTTCTCTAACAACATTCTTTTCCATCCTTCAAGATGCAGTGGGCACATCAATCATTCTCATCTAAACAATAATACTTGTTTTAATTTTCCGTAGGACTGTTCTCTCCTTGGTTCCTTTCCTATTTTCTAATCTTTTTTTTTTTTGTGTCAGTTTCTTATGACCTCATACATTGGATGTTGTACCATTCCTTCTGAAAGACATTATCTACTCTTGTGGGTTTAACTATCTTTATGCAGATGACCTCTCTAACCTGAAATTTACTTTCTAATTTGAAAATACTATCAAATGGATATTCTATTACATATCAGAAACTCCTGACTCTGCTCTCCAGGGCACTGCTTTATGCTCCTCCCTTATTCACATTTCTGCTATACTCCTATCCTCGTACAGAAATCCATTTTTTCCTTCTTCTTTTTCTGAGCTAAACTTATTACTCACAGACCACTCCATCTCTTGCTTCTTCTGCCATTCTATATCCCTCCAGGGAAGCTTCCCTGATCAGTTCAGAGCCACGTAATTCTATTGTACCTAACCTACTCCACTTTGGTATATATAAAAATTATTTTTCTTCCAAGTGTTTATTCTACACATCTATTTCTACTCTAATAATAACATCTATCATTTATATAATGCTTCAAGGTTTGCAAAGTACTTTATAGATATTGCTTTATTTCTCACAACAATCCTGGTAAATAGATATTATTACTACCTTCATTTTACAAATGGAGAAATTGAGGCAAAGAGAGGTTGAATGACTTATACAGGGTTACACAGCTAATGAGTGTCTACGGCTGGATTTGAACTCAGGTTTTCCTGACTCTTATGTCCAGCACTCTATCCATTATGCCATTTAGTTGTCTATATTTGTCTATATTGCCTTTGTGCTAGAAGAACATTAGCTTCTCAACTGCCTGGATCACAGCTATACAACTATATAAAGGAAACTAATTAGGCTTTCATAGAATTGAATAAATTAAAAAAGGAGAAATATAGACTAAGTATCCTGATGAACAAAACATTTTCAGCCAAGGGGATCAGAAAAGGCTACTTAGAAAAGGTAGCATCTATGCCAAGTGTTTATGGAAGATAAGGAATTTTTAAGGAAGCAATTACATTCCAAATTCTGGGAGACGTATTGTGGAAATACATGGATGCCAGTGATGACATGTCCAGTTTGGGGAACAGCTAGTAGGATATAATTTGACTGAAATAGATTATATGAGGGAAAAGAACACAAAATAAAAGTGGAGAGGCAAGCTGATGTTAACTCTAGAGCACTTTACACAGGGGTAGGGCACCTGTGGCCTCAAAGCCATGTGTGGTTCTTTATGTCCTCAAGTACAGTCCTTTGAATCCAAACTTCACAGAACAAAGGGCCGCACTTAAATAAGGACTAATAAATAGAGTAATAAATTTAGGATCTTAAAGAAGAAGCTTTTATTTTATACATGAGGTAACTGAGAGCCAATGAAGATATCTGAGCATGGGAAGGGCATGGTGCCTTAGGAAAGTAATTTTGGAAGCTATGTAAAAGATGGTTTGGAGAGACACTGAAGGGAGATCAATGAGGGGGCTATTATAACATTGTGGGTGAGAGGTTATGAGAGTCTAAACTACAGTAATGTCAGCAAGAGTAGAAAGATAGGGATGGATGCATGGGATATCATGAAGGTGGAATCTCAAGACCTTACCAAATGACTGGCTATGGGGGGATGAGAGAGGGATGAATCAAAGGTAATATAGGTTTTACCTCAATAATAAATGCTGAGTACTGTAAGGTTGGCAAAATATGCAAGCTATGGAGGTGGAGCTATCCACCATGCAACCAAAGTGGCAGGAATAGAGTTTGGGGGAGGGGATCTTACACACACACACACACACACACACACACACACTCAATCTTGAATGCATATTCACACATATACATACATACATACATACACACACTCACACCCCTCAGAGTCACCTTGTAGAGATGATAATGGAACTTATGAAAGAAGGCAAGATTACCAAAGTGGAGAGAGAAGAGGACAGGGCTCTGGGGGTATACGTTTTTAATGGGAGGATATGGATGATGACTCAGGGACATGCCCACTCCCGATAGGGATATGAGACTCCCTGGAACACACTTTCTCCTCTTCAGGCCTGCCACGAAGTGGGCTTCCTGAGCCGCCCCCTCCCCCCCAAAACAGACACATTGGCTATCATGAAGTTAGAACCTTGAATCTTCTAATACCTGCCTTCTTTAGTGAAATTCTCCTTATCCGCTGATACTTTGCCTAGACTTGACTCCTCATACTTATGCTCTTATCCCTCCCTCCCCATCCCAGTGATACTAAGCCCAACTGCCAAAGAATTTCGTTCCCTAACTCTTGCTATCTGTTCTCCCATTCCTATTCCCCACAACCCTTGACAATGTTCCACTCCAGTTTTGCTCACCCCTTTCACTGGGCCCTCTACAATGCTTGCTCAATAAGTAAACTTCCTCTTATGCTGAACCTCATTCTTGTTCCTTCCACCTTCGGTCACTCACTAATACCTGGCTCCCTCTGGAGGATACTACATCTCTAGCAATCCTTTCCAGGAAGGGATGTACTTTCTCTCATACCATGAACTCACTGATTATGGTAGGGGAGTCAGGATACTTCTTGCTTATCATTGTACTTCCACACACTTCTACCACTATTGTTCAGTAATCTCTTCCATGGAGCTCTCTGAGGTTCATGCTATCTAAATTTACCTTCTAGTCCAGAGGCTGGTGGTCATTATCAATTGACAACAACAACCCTCTCCATAATGGCCCCCTGCCCCAGAAATTCTTCCTTATTTATCTGAATTCTTGCCATAATATTAGGGGTGATTCAAATATCCTAACTTCCCAGTTTCTCAATCTACTCAACTCCTATAACCTCCATTCCACCTCCACTCCACACAAGGATGATCCTACCATCGCCAAAAAGTGTTCCGCTTCTATGTTCAAGAACTTCAAAATTCCTTTATGTAATCGTAATCTTTTATCATTCCATCTTTTTTAGTGTGTGTGTTGGGCCTCTAAACCTGTTCTTTATATTCACCATGACCTTCAAACTCTTTACCTCTTAGTACTTTCCCAGACCTCCCTGTAGTGGTTATATTTTCCTCCTTCCCAACCCTGATATCAACACCAGTTTAACTCTATAGTATGTTCTACCCTTGAATTCCTTACCAATCTTCTTGTCAAACCTTAACCCTGAATTATTCCCATAATTCACATCCTTTGCTCCTATTTACATATTGCTAAGTGACGTTACAAAACCATGCTGACTGGGTCCATGGATCTTTGCAAGATTTATGGTATCTAATCTCAACTGGGCCCTCAGTGGTAAAAGGAAATACTTCAATTCCCTTCTTAACCAATCCTCTATCCCTTTCACATAGGCAGCTGTTTCAAACCTTCTCTTTTCTACTTCAGCCTTTCACAGCACTCCTTCCCTGGGCCTCTCAATAGAGGACCACGTTTTATATTTCACTTCTCCCCCCTAAAATTATGATAGTATAGACAAGATCCAAGAGCTCTCTCTCTTCTACGTTTCTCCTTTATCTCATATTCCTTTGGCCCAATCCCCTACTCATTCCTCTTTCAACCTCTCTACATGCACCCTTGATACAATCTTCTGCTTTTTCTAGCAGACTGCCCCCACTTTCTCTAATCTTCAATCTCTCTTTATCCATTGGCTTTTTCCTTATGGCCTATAAACATGTCCATGTCTCCTTTCTAAAAACACCCTCACTACACTCTGCCATTTCCACTAGCTGTCACCCTATATCTTTCTTTGCCTTCTCTGTTCAGCTCCTTGAAAAAGACTTCTTGGTGCCTTCTCTTCCTCTTCTCTCACTCTAAGTCCTCTGCAATTTGGCTTTCAAATCCATTTTTTCAACTGAAGTTGTTCTCTCCAAAATTTCCAGTGATCTTTTTTCTCCACCAATGAGCTCTTAATAAACAAATCTAACGTACTTCTCAATCGTCATTCTTTTTGACCTTGCTGCAGCATCTGACACTGCAGATAAACTTCTTTCCTGGATACTCTCTCTTTTCTGGGTTCTCACGACACCACTTTTTTCTCGGTTCAACTCACACCTGTTTGTTCCTTTATAGTCTCCTTTGCTGGATCTTCATCCCTGTCACGCCTCATAACTAAAATCTCTGTCCTGCGCAATCTTCGCTTTGTATATTCTTTTACTTGGTGATCTTATTTTCCACGGCTTCAGCTATCATTTCTATG